CCTGCGAAACGTCTCCTTCCAGGGGCTGGGCCAGCTGCAGAGCCTCAACCTCAGCGACAACTCCCTGGGCGTGCTGAGGAACGGCACCCTGGCCCAGCTCCGCGGCCTGCCCGCCCTCCGGCGCATTGGCCTGGGCCGCAACGCCTGGGTCTGCGACTGCACCATCGAGGACCTGGTGGCCTGGCTCAAGGAGACCGACAAGGTGGAGGGCAAAGAAGCCCTGACCTGCGCCTACCCTGACAAGATGCTGGGCAAAGCCCTGCTGAAGATCAATGGCTCGGACCTGAACTGCTCCGTGCCCGTAGACCTGCCTTCCCAGCTACAGACTTCGTACGTCTTCCTAGGGATAGTCTTGGCTCTCATCGGGGCCATTTTCCTCCTGGTTTTGTACTTGAACCGAAAAGGAATCAAAAAATGGATGCACAACATCAGAGATGCCTGTAGGGATCACATGGAGGGCTACCACTACAGATACGAGATCAATGCAGACCCCAGGTTAACAAACCTCAGCTCCAACTCAGATGTCTGACGAGGCACTGCGGACGCGGGGCAGCGCACAGTAGCTATGCATGAAAAGTAGACTTACGCTTTACCCTCGTGCTTGCTTCCCTCTCCCCGGAGAAATCTGACGTGCTTGTAACATGAGGGGGATATGCCTCCCTGTGACGTCAAGTTCAATTTTGTTTTGAGGCGCTGGGCAGCTGCGCATGGCGTTGGGCTGTATGTAGGAAACAAGCTGCTACTTCTTTTCCTCCTTACCTGTCTGTACTTGTAGGAAATTTTTTTCAAGATCTCAAAAGAAGAAAAGGATTCTCTCTGATGCTCCAAAGCCTCCAGAGTTTATAACAAAATTTACTGATGCAGACACCATTCAACAAAAGCTGCCTCAACTTTTTGGGAAAAAAATGTTATGTTCCTCTGTGCCAGTTTTGATCTTGTGTATCCGAATTGTGATGACAACGATTCGTCATAGACTACCTTGAGATTTAAAAAAACAAAGAAACTCCTTTTAACAACTCCTCTGTTACAAAGAAGGAAATAGAATAGTGAGCATGCACAAATACTTTATAGTTTTACATGTTAGGAAACTTACGATCTCAGTAAGTCTCTTACTGTTTTGTAGTTATTTTTGATTGCAGTTTACATGAAAAGAGAGGGTTTTTTATACAAACTGCATCTGAACTCCATCTGAACTGTTAATTCAATAAACAGTCTTACAAGAACTGTTGTGTTGAAGTTTGCTGTTCAATGAGAAATGTATGGACATCTAAGAATGTGGATAGCTTTATAGTTTCTGAAGTAATAGCCCTACAGTAGTAATCTGAATAAAATTTTATACAGATGTGTAGCTTAGAGACATAAACATTCAACAATTTTGTGAAATATTGAGGAGAATTACACTGATCAACGACGAGAGCATTTTCACTCAGCACAAAACCCCCAGTCTGCTCTCTCAAAACAACTGTGAAATGTTGAGACAGATGCTAGGGTCCACCTTGCTGGGAAGGTACAAGCTGGTAGAATTTACGTAAGGTCTTCTCTACCAAATTTAAAAAAAAAAATCACTCAAATTAAGTTGTGGAGTTTGTAGGCTAAAGAAAATCTTACCTGAGTGGAATTGTTTATAATAAAAAAACATACTTTTGTGTTCTGAACTAAATTAAATGCAGCTCAGTCGTGTAGTGGGCGAGCTTCAGGCTTGTAAATCAATGCAGTACTTATTAAATTAAGTGCTTACTGTTTCATTTTAAGCTCTCGATACTCGTGAAGTTCTGTGGTGATCTACATTGAGTAACTTGATGGAACTTTACATTTGTCTTAAAGCTTATAACAGGTGCATTTCAGTATTTTATGTTACTCATGCTTATTACTTGCTTGGGAATGCATTTTCTTGTGAATAGATAAAGCATGCAAATTAAAACTTCAAAAATGCGTCATTTAATATACAACTCTGATGACATATGAAAAGGTTAGCAAGAACCTTCCAATGGCCACCAATAATTAATGCACTTTTTCTAATCCACTTACAGAATCTTAATGAAAAAAATACACCAACTGTAAAAGTGTGATGTGAATTGGTATCTATCAGTATATCTGTGGAGCTTTTTCCATGGTCACTGTTTCTTGAAGCTCTTGAGCATGTCTAAAATTTTATGAATTGCTGGCTAATTCCCTTTGCTTTCAAAAGTGACAGTTCTATCATAGATATACACCTTTGGTGAGAGCTTATAAATGTAAAATACTCCTTAAGGTAGCAGAAGAAATATAATCTATTTTGGGCATCAGTATTATTCAAATGCATTTTTCTTTCCTTGCAACTTCAGACAAAACAAGTAGCACAAGTTGGTTCAGACTAATTTTCTATTGCTTTAAATTGGCTTTATTTAATAGTAGTGATTTTTTTAAAATGTAGTTTTGTACATTTGCCCTCAAAAGTAAAAAAAGAATTAAGTACAATTAATGTTTGATAAATCAGTGTATTTTACAATTAATGTAAGTTAAGTCATAGCCTATTTCTCCTGCTGTAATTTAAATGTGTGAGCAATATCTGGTTAACAGCATATGAATTTAAGTTTGTGGATTCTTAAAAAGCAGACTGCTGGCCTGAATGTTAGCTGCCCATATTTTAAGAGTAGCATAAAAACCCCAGTGTGAATAACTATTACTGTGCAACTATGCAAACCGTTCATACTTGGTATACATACGATAGTTTATGTAAGAAGCTAGAATTTACAATAGCTATGCAGCGTGCTGTGTTGTATTGGTCGTTTCGGAGTTTATCAACTTACACTTATTTGTACAGTGCCAAGAGGACTAGAGCGTCATCCTTGCTTAAGATGCTCCTGTAATATAATAGATAAAATATGTACAAACCAAGCCATTTCTTGGGCAATTTCTTGGTTTTTGTTAACAGATACTTTAAAGTAACTACAGTGAAAGCAATTATCCGTGATGTGTTAATGTAACAGCCATGCATTTATAGAGCTGTGTAAGGTTAGGCAACAACTTTAATTGCAGTCTCTCACCAATGGACTAGTATTTGTATAGTGAGCAAGTGTAACTGTTGTATTACACCTATTATTCTGAAGATTATTATTATTATTTTTGTATCATAGAAAGTCATTGTAATAGAATTTTATTAGAGACCTGGTGACGGCTACTTTAAAATAATTTTTGCCATTTGCTTACATGTGTATTTATTAGGATGTAACAGTTAGCATGTGTCAGTATTGTGTTGGATAATGTTCTCCTACAGTGTTTGACCAACAGTGAATGCTCTGGTGTTTTGTACAATGCATTATTTGATCTTAAATCCCCTTCCATAAACAGTGCTTGAAATTTGTTTTCCTATCCTTTTACAAAATAGTTAACAGTGGTACTCAGAAGACATTTAAAAAGTAGCTCCCAAAGTGCTTCAGAACTTCATTAAAAACTATACATTTAAAATAACATTAGTTTAAGGGTTCTTCTGAAGCACATTTTATAATCTTACTCTGCTTTGACACCTGAAATTCCAATTGATTACCATTTCCGGAGCAGCTTAATTAGCAAGGCTGTTTTATTCATTCATTCTTCAATAAAACACGTGCAGTACTAAATGCCTCTAAAATGTGTTTTGTATATGTAAACCCCCAAAGTTCTGCATGACATGGTTGTCACTGATGTTTCATAGAAAACATCTAGACTTTTTCATAGAAAACATCTAGACTAAAGTCTAGAAAACATCTAGACTAAAACATCTGGGCAAATCTGCAGGGAAGGCTGCGTAGCTAAGAAGCAGAAGGTTCAACTGCTTTCTTAAAACTAGTTTTAGTTGTAATAAGCTTAAAATTTTCTTAGAAGAATAGCACAAGTAATTGACATAGTTTTAGTATGTTTTCCTAAAGTACTTTGGATAAGTGCTGTTGCCAGGTAAGAAACAGGTAAGAAACAGAAAATTCCCCAAATCTTTCTTTATCCAAGGTAGCTTTACATTAGATAGTCCAACATTTTTTTACTTTCAGCAAGCCATAATATTACCAGTAATTTTGACATCCAAAAAGTGATTTGAAGTTTTGCACAACTGCTTTAAGTCTTTTCATTCAGGGTAATTTACCTTTTAAGCACTGGTGACAATCCCCAGTGACATGCCAGCTAGCGAAGCAGTCTGTTCAGACCTGTATTTGGTTGTTGGCTGAGATGTCACTGAAGACAGGCATGGCAAAATATTCAAAATACGACTGCGTTAGGATCCCAACTCTCATTATTCTACCAGCATTTTCCCCTGTGGTATACTCTGCTCTTTATGCATCTGCATAATTTCTTCTTCACCTCATTTTCTCAAGAAATCCATTAAAAGGAGTGTCGTGAATCTGCACAGGTAGAGAAATCAGTCTGACTGCATCTATATTTTGAGGTTTAGCATCTTTGTTTCCCTTTAAGCCTTAATGTGAAAAAGAGCCTTTGTCGAAGTGGACAGAATGAAAATTTGATACACACTTTTTTTTCTCTTTAGCAGCTGAATGTTCAAGAAGAACCATTCATTCTCAGCATATGATGAAGGAAAATAGCATTTGGTAAGAAAAACATTTTGGTTTCAAGCTTCCAAATGACATTTATATTCTATGAGAGAAGGTTGAAAGGAGAAGCTTATAAAGGAAACGGAGGTATCCCTTTGTAATGGGTCAGCGCTGGAAATCACAATGCTAGCAATAGGAACAATTGCTGATTGATTCTGTCTGTTACGTTCTGGTCATATTTTATGGATACAGCTCTAATTTCTTCCTGTTGCTATAAATAGAAACATTTTGCTAACCAGTGGAGTCACGTCCTATAATATTTGTAATGCAGGTGTTTCCACTGTGGGATTTTTGTGGGATATAATAGAAAATTTAATTCGGCGCCTGCTGATTTAATAATAATTAGATCAGGCCCATAACTTAATGCTCTTTTTTTGCAAATGTGCCGCTCACTAGTTGCAAAGACCTTGGCTTGAAATCAAACAATGAAAGCCCAAGAAGAGCAAAAGTCCATTTGGGGAGTGTAACATTTATTAGATATTTCACACATGCTTAGAAGAGAGACATAAACTGTGTGGGAGCGGAGGATCCTTTGCTGATACAGAAGTGTACTCTGCTAGCTTCCTGAGTCAATACAGCAGTAGCAGAAAAGTGGTGCTTTATACCAATATAAGAAACCTAACAGCACTCCTCTCCCACCTTGAAAAAAAAACCCCCGCCAAGCTTTTAGAAGTAAGAATACAGGATTGCAGTATAAGTATGTCCTTAAAAAGGGGTTTTGCTTTCCCAGCGGTGTTAGAATTTACATGTTGCCACATCCTCGGAAAACCTTACTATGCCAGAAGTCATCTGTCACGTAGGCAAAGCTTGAAATCAGGCCTTGCATTCCCAATGTTAGCCTAAATAGAAAAAGGGAACTATTAAGAAAATTAAAATGGTACTTTAGACAGTGTATTCATGTTGCAGTTAATTATTTAACACTTGCAATTATTTATGTTTTTCAAAGTATTCACTAGATAGCTTTTCCTTT